TCGGGCCGAGGCCCTGCAGTCCGGCCGAGGCCCTGCTGTGTCTCAGCCTGGGTCCCCATGACACGGGGTGAGCCAGTTCCCAAGGGCCAGGGCCCAGGAGGCCACAGTGCCCTCGCTCCTGCTGGCAGCCTCCAGGCAGTGGGGAGCTGGCGGGCTTTCTTCTGGCCCCGAGAAAGGGCTCTCGGAGCCCCAGGAGCATGTCCTGGACGTGGAGGTGGGGTCACAAGAGAACTCTGCCTGACCCCCAGCCATCTGTCTCCCCATCACCCGTGGTTTACAGGTAAGAGGTGCTGCCCGGGACCCAGGGGCAGGGCTGCTCCCTGCTGGGAGGCTCTGAGCATGGGCAAGCTCTGCAGCCCTGTGGGGCCTGTGCCTCAGTGAAGGGAAGGTGGCTCCTGCCGCTGGAAGGACAAAGGCCTTCCTGGGGTACGGAGACCCTCCTTTTTTCCCTCCCAGTGGTTACTGCCTCCGCCCGGCTTCCCACCTTCCTGTGCCGCAGCCACCCCACAGCAGTTCCCCAAGGCAGGGGTGGCTTGCCCCTGCCACACAGGCCCCGTGCGAGAGCCAGAGGGGACCAGGGTCCTGTGCCTGCACAGAGGCCTGAGCACGGAGCACAGGCAGCAGCCTCGAGGAGGGCTGACAGGAGACAACACCGCCTCATTTGCTGAGCAGCGTTTGTGTAATTAGACGCATTTGCTGCTGCCAAGGAGGGGGAGCGGCCACAGCAGCAGCTTGCTGCATCGGGCTCCCCCGGGCTCCCCACACTAACCACAGGGCCTGGGCCACCGGCCGCTTTCCTCCCCAGCTCTGTCCCGTTCTCACCTGGGACTGAGGGAGGGGGCAGGGGCGGGCTCTGCAGCACGGGCCTTGTCCCCCTATGGCCTGGCCGGGACCCGCTGTCCTGAGGACACGGTGAGCCGGGCCGCCAGGCCAGCAGGATGCGGCAAACAGGGCTGCTGCCACGGCCGTGTGTGAACAGAATAGCCCTCCTCGGCTCCTCAACCCTGGAGCAGAGGCAGGCCTGGCGGCCGTGCAGGGCATCCCTCTGAGCCTGTGCCTGCACCTGCGAGCTGCAGATGTAACCCACCTCCCAGGCCATCGGGAAGGGAGGGAACACATTTCTCGCCCTTTTCTGTACGTGGTGATGCTGGGCTCGCACTGGGACCGCGGATCCCAGATGAGCTGGAGAACGATCCTCGGAGAGTCCCCGTCCTCAGCCCTGGGCCCTGGGCCCTGGGAATGGGGCTCAGTGGGAAAGGGCCGTTGCAGACGTGGAATTCAGGACTGTTCTGGGTTGTCCCGGGCCCTCAAACAATCCCAGGTGTCCTTATGAGGGGGCAGAGGCAGAAAACAGCCACAGAGGAGGACGGCCACCTGAGGACAGAGCGGGGAGAAAGGCAACGCAAAAGGAGGCGGGGCTTGGGAGCCACGGAAACCTCTTCTCTCCAGGAGGAAACGGTTCTCCTAACCCAGAGGTCGGCGAACTCATTAGTCAACAGAGTCAAATGTCAACAGTACAATGACTGAAATTTTGAGAGCCAAAATTTTTAAACTTAAATTTCTAACGCCACTTCTTCAAAATAGACTCGCCCAGGCCGTGGTATTTTGTGAAAGAGGCCAAAGAGCTGCATGTGGCTCGCGAGCCGCAGCTTGCCAACCACTGTCCTAGAAGACTCCTGTCAGTCTTTTGGCCTCCAGAGCTCCGAGACCAAGCCTGTCCTGGTTAACCCAGAACTGAGGTGATTCGTTACTGCAGCAGGAGGAGACTCATACGTGCTCTTCAGTTACCCAGGGACGTGAAAGAACCGCTGGGCCCGCGAGCGACAAGACGGTTTCTGCAGGCCGCTGGCCTGGCCAGACTTCTCTTGCGACCTGCCATCGCCACCTGCTTCTCCAGGTGCTCTGCCACACACTGCGCCTCCCTGGCTAGGAAGGAGGCAGGCCCGGATGGGGGTAGGGGGTCAGCGTGTGGCCTGTGTCCAATCCAGAGCTGGTGAGTGGTGAAGCCTGGAGAAGGTGCAGGGTGACCTCCTGCCACAGCTCCCACTGGCACAGGGAGGGACAGCACTAAGGACCCCTGTTCAGCAGCCCAGGCCCTGCCTGCACAGCGTCTCAAGCCTGCTCCCGCAGCAGGCATGGTACATGCAGACCGTGGCCTTGCCCCAGAGCAGACTCCACAGGTCCGGGCCTGGGGCCTGCATTCCTAAGAGGCTGGGCACCACAGACCGAGGGCAGTGCCCCAGCCAAGGGTGGTCTGTGCTCTGTGGATTCGGCAGAACCTGCCCAGGGGTCCTGGAGTCACACATATGCCCTCGGGAGAGGCCAGTGTGAGACCGAGGGGCTGGGCTCAGGGGCAGGAATGAGATTTCTAACGTCCAACCCTACGTGGGTGACCCTCATGCCAGCTGCTTATCCTCTCTGTGTTGCCTCAGTTCCTTCCTCTGTAAAGTGGGGTGACATGAAATGCACTCTCAGGGCTGTTGAGAGGACTGAGATAAAACAGAAAGTGTTTAACAGTCATAGGTCAGAGTTACCGCGGGAAATTGCATTCGCCAGTGAGGGGGTCTTCTCCTATCAGCTGGGGGGAGATGAGAGCCTGGAAGCTCCCCTGCAGCGATGGGCTTGCCTGGCGCCCCTCCGGGAGCTCTCAGCACTGAGCATGCCCACGACTGGCCCTGGGACAGGCAGGGAAGCACTTCCTGCAGGCCTGCTGTGCCAGGACCCGTGTCCTGAGCCCACCAAGCGTCTCAGGAGCAGAAAATCAGCAACTCCAACCCCTCCTAGGAGGGACTCAGCCCCCTTAACATGCTTAGGTTCTCAGATGCCTCCAACTGAGACATTGCTCCAAATATACATATCTCCCCGAAGCTGCTGGGACCGCCTCCATCCAGGTGGGGGGCTGCGGCTGGCACACGTTGCACAGCAGGTCCTACATGGTCCATGAGCACGTGCTGAACGTGTGGGAAGACAGGGAGACAACCAAATCTGGGACCATGTGAACAACACACTCAACTGTGATCACCAGAGGCTATAGCTCATCGACTACCACAAACATCAACGCATTTATTTGGAAAAGAGAATGGGGGAGAAGGCAGGGCTGTGCTCACAATAGCTTCCTAGCAGATCAGTGTGGGAGGGGCGCCGGGGATGGAGAAGCAGCACTTGGCAAAGACAGTACCTCCTGTTTCTGACGGGAGCCATCGTGGAGGTTAGAGTCTGTGGTGCCAATGTGATGAGGAGGAGGATGTGCACATGTTACCGAAGCGACTCCTGGTCCTGACTTCAAACTGGAGAAACTCACCGGAACCAAGCGGTCACAGCTAATCCCAGGCATGAGAAGTGTCACCGTGACGTGCCCCCGCAGGAAGGGCCCAGCATCCCTTTTCTCATTATTCCCCAAAACGCATAATCTGAGGCCACATCAGACACACCCAGGAGGACGTTTTGTATGGAACCTGGGCTGTCTCCTTCAAAATGCCAAGGTCATTAGGAGAGACCATTGTCCCAGATTAAAGGGACGACAGAGATAAGACAACTAAGTGCAAACGCTGGGTCCTGAACCAGAGCAAAAAGACAGGAGCAGGCACCTGGCCAAACCTGGGTGAGACCCAGCGTTAGCTAATAGCACACTTGAGGAAGTGGTGAAGGGTATAATAGAAATCGTGGTACTATTTTTACAACTGTTTTTATGTGTTTGAAATGATTCCAAAGCAAAAGGTATTTTTAAAAAGAAAATAAAAACCCCAGGTTTGATCTGTCGTGGGGAGGCAATGCGTGCCCAGAAATAGGAGTCACCTGAGGACTGGGCCCTTCTCAGTCACCTGCCCCGACCAGGCAGAGGGCGTGCTTTGAACGCAGTGAGTGCTCAGCAAGTACTTGCTGCCTCCACTCGGCCGGGAGCCGGGAGGGCAGTGAGGGGACGCAGGGAGGGCTGTGCGCTCAGCAAACAGTGAGTGTGCACCTGTGGTGCACCAGCCACGGCAGAGCCTCTGGGAGGCAGGCGTGAACCCATTCTGGCGTGGCAGTGCGGTGGGATCAGGGAAGGTCCCACTGGGTGCGCTGTTCCCGGTGCCCGCTGAGGCTTAGAGGATCTGAAGGAGATGCCAGCAGGGGGCCGGGGCCGGGGCCAGTGGGAATCGGTGCCCCAGTCTCGGCAGGCTGGGCAGCTGGAGCCGAGACACAGGAACATGTGCAGGGTTGTGAGTGCTGGGACCACAAACAGCACCTGGACAGGTGAGGTGGCTGGGTCCAGAGGGGCTACAGGGCAGCTGGATCTGTGCAGGAGGTCCCTCCCGGGCAGGTGTGGGAGCAGCAGATATGTTAGGTGTGTGTGTGTGTGTGTGTGTGGGGGGGGGAGGGCAGCACGGTCTCTCTTCTAAAAGCAGGCATGGGGCATGGTTCATCAGGTCATAAAGACCAAGAAAAGCGACCTCAGCTACAGGCCTCAAGAGTTTCAGTGGGACTGCACAGGCGTCTCACTACCCGCGGTCTCACAGCAGGAGCAGGATGAGGCCCCAAAGTATAACTTGGAGCTTGTCCTTATAAGTGGGGTGACCCTGTAACTCAGTGTCCAAGTCGGGACACTTCAGAGACACTTCAGAGAGGGAAGGGCGTGCGATGAATGATTATGCTTGGGCGGCACATGAGGAAGGTCAGCATACTGAGATGGGACCTCTGGCCTGAAGGGGCTCCCACTGCCCCCTGGGGGAGGGCGGGCACAGAGCCCAGGTGCTGCTTATGGACCCTCCAGGACAGTCGGCAGCCTTGGAAGTGGTGAGGGGGGCGATGGCTGTGCTTCCCTTCTCAGGTAACCAGAGGGAGCTGGGTGTCCATTCCCACCCACACAGCTGCTCAGGTCCCGGCCAGTGCCCCCGTGGGTGGCGAAGGTGACGATGCAGATCAGGGTCTCCAAAAAGCAAGATGGAGGCAGGAAAGGTGGCCGGGGCTTCCCCGGTGCGGGGGGGACTGCACGCCGAGGCGGTGGCCAGGGCAGGACTTACCCGTGCACGCCGTGGGCAGAGTGAGGCTCGTAATGGTACCTTCCCTCCTGGTGTCTCATGTCAATCGGTAAGGGAGCATGGAACGGCGGCAAAAGGTGCTGCGGCACTGTAGGGGGAGAGAGACAGGACTTCAAAACCTTTCCCCTCCCTCGGAAAGCAATTTTCAAAGGGCTTTAACGTTCAATGAATTTCAGAGGAAAAGCAGTCAGGACAGGGGGCTCCGAGGTGCCCGGCGATCACACACCCACGGAGGGGATGAATAAGTAATCAAAGCCAGCCGGAGAACCGACATCACTCACATAAAAGATCCCCGACCGCGCTCTTGACAAAGACAAGCAGCTGAGCGCTCTTTGAACTCGGGGAGATTACAGGCCGGGCTGCAAATCAGGGCTGACAGAGCCGACAGGCTTCTGCCCATCCCGGCCTTGGCCGCGCGGCCTGCTGTGTGGGTGACGCGTCCACGCCGGCAGCATGCGCCCAGAGCTCTGTGCGCCGGGCCCGCTCCGCGCCGGCAGACACCGTGTGGGAGCGCGAATTCCCCAGCGCTCTCCATTAATTACTGACCCTCCGCGCTGGCGCAGCTCAGAGCGGTAAATGCCAGCGCGTGAGCGTCGGTTTCCAGAGGTGAGTCAGCCCTGTCTGCACTTGGCCTGCCCTCCACAAATCATCATGGTAATTGCAGGATGCTCTTTGCTTATTAAGAAAAAATTCCTGGGTGCCCTGGAGGCAAACGTAATTACAGGTGCTAGGAAAACAACCTCTTTAAAAAGCAGTTAGACTGGAGAAAGGGCTAAGACGTGGAGGTTTCTCCGGGGACTCGCTCACGCCGGAGGCCGGCCGGGGAGCCAGCGGTGAGGCGGACCTGCCGCTGCCTTTGAGCCGAGGCTGTTTTCGGTCCACGCATGCGGGGCGGCAGCCCGCCAGGCCTGCCCGAATGAAGGCACAGACCCTGCTGCTCACGTGCAGACCCTGGTGCTGTTCTGTAAACACTACCCACTCTCTGACTTCACTGTGGCCAATCCACACGACAGGAAGTGTCCCGTGTTAATCATGCGTAAGTGTACAGCGCAGGGAAGCACGTTCACATCGCTGTGCAACCATCACACCGTCCATCATGGGACCTTTCCATCGCCCCAAGCTGAAACCCTGGACCCCTTACACAACACACACCTCCCCACCCTGGCCCAGGCGACTGCCACCCTTTTCCTATCTCTATGACGTGACCACTCCAGGTCCCTCATCGGAGTAATCAGACAGCACTGGTCCTCCCGTGACCGGCACTTCACGAAGCATCATGTCCTCAGTGCTCATCGCGATACCACGTGCCCGATGGGCAGACCCCGTTTTGGCCAGCCATTCATCCCATGATGGACACTTGGTTTGAATGCTCTGAACTCCTAACAAGAGGAAACTTTTCTCTTGACATTCTAAACTTCGTTTTCACATATTCAATTTTACCTTCAGAATTCCACAATCCTGGCATCTTCCATGGGGACTTGGAACAAAGAAAACCAATTTCTCACCCTGATTAAAACCATCTGCCAAACCCAGACTCACAGGGGAGTTGGCCTCTAAAGCGGAGGCCAGCGCCGCCTGCTTCCTCGCGGGGACACCTGGGCTGCGGGACCCTGGGGCGTCCAGCAGGGAGGCAGCGCCCTCTCCAGAGGCGCGGGAAAGGGCTACATGGTCTCCTCGACGCGGCCAGCAGACCGAACCCCAGCACTGTTACCAACCGTTTCCCTGCATTTTCGAAAGCCCCTGGGGCAGCCAGGGTGGGTGTTATTGCACCCATTTCACAGCGGAGAAAATGGAGGCCAAAGGCGATTTCAGCTCAGTCACGGGGCTGAAAAATGGCAGAGCCAGGAGGAGAGTCCACGGCCCTGGACAGCTGGTCATAGCATTTCCCTCTGCCCAGCATGAAGGAGTACTCAGAGGCAGCCCTGTGCAGGGGGAATGCCTAGGCCTCTGTCCCCCCCCTGCTCACCCACCGTATTTAGCAAATGCACACAGTATTGGGCCTGTTCTAAGTACTATGCAAATACCAACTCCAACCTGCAGTTGCAACTTCACAGCAACCCCAAGCTGCACTCACCCCAGAAATCCTGGGGTTCCCGCTCTCCACCCCCAGCACCGTGTGCCCCTTTTCTCCCCAGAGTTTTACCGACAGGGCTGAAGGGGGTCCCTTAATGCGATATCAGCAACCCGGCCCACCCGACCAGGGGCCCGCCTAAGCAGCTGAGCGGAGATGTGCCTCTGTGCAGGGTTAATGCCGCTGCTTCAGGTCTAAGGAGCTCTGGCCTCCACCGGGATGAAGTGTGCGTGCTAGTTCACCAGGCAAATGTGAACTCCAGTGGCGCTGAGGCTGACCTGCCGCTCCACCAAACCAGGCTGTGCCTGTGTGCCTATGTGCGAGTGTGTGTGTGTATGCATGTGTGTGTGCCTATGTGTACCTGTGCGTGTCTGTGTGTGTGTGCCTGTGCATATGTGCCTGTGTGTGCCTGTGCTTGTCTATGCCTGTGTGCCTATTTGTGTGTGCCTGTGTATATGTGTGTGTGCCTGTGTGTATGTGCCTGTGTATATATGTGTGTATGCCTGTGTGTGTTGGGGATGGGGGGGTGGGGAGAAGTCTGGGCTTCTGGGAAGAGGCATGAAGGACAGCCATCCACAGAGCACGCCACAGCCGGGGCTGCTCCCTCCTTTCGACGGGTCCCTGGTGATGGCTGTGGAGCTGACATGGGATGCGGCTCTCTCTTTCTCGAGTCAGAGGGGCAGGGCAGGGCCTCGCACCCTGCTGCCCTCCAAGCAGCGACGCCCAGGGATGACAGGCAGCAGCGGCTGTGGCCACAGCCCGCGCCCCTCTTGTTACCACTTGGGGTCCTCAGAAGGAGCCTGGGAACCTGTGTTAACGGTTCACCCATCCAGGCATGGGTGTGCTAGGTCAGTCAGCAGCTTGTGGCCCAGGGCCTACCGGTCGGGCAGGGAAAGCGCCACGGGCGCTCATCCTCAGAGAAGCCCGCAGCCTCCTGGGCCTTTGCCATGGCTCCACGGGTCCTTTCCTCGCCAGGAAGCACACGGAGGCTCTGGGTGGCCAGTCTGCCATAGGAGAGCCACGGCCAGGCAGCTCGTGGCTCCACTGCCTCTCCTCTTCCAGTGAAGCCCTAGGTGCCAGCAGCCAGCACCTAGCACCCAGGGGCCCTCAGCAGCAGGGTCTCCGAGGACCCACATCCACACCGCAGCCCCCAGGTGGCCCCAGGGCAGATGGACGTGTGCCTGCCCGCCTTCAGAGAGGACCAGTCCACTCCCAGCCTGGGGCTAAGCCTGGCGGCAGTCATGCAGCAGTCATCACTCATCCTGCACCCCTCCTTCCTTAGGTCATTCCTTTACCCATTCAGTCACCTGCCGGGGATCTATCTGGGCGTGCTCTTAGCAGACAATGTTCTAGAGCTGGAGCAGTGCGGAGACAGCAGCCTGCGGTGCCACTTCTCAGAGCGGACAGCTTTCCCGAGGACACAGCCATGAATAAGCTACAAATCCATTTACCCCATCCTGTCAGAGGATGGCGAAGCCAGCGGAAACGGGCTGGGCACGGGGCAGAGGGGAGGGGCGTGGGGTGGGAGTAAGGGCTCCTGCGGGACAGGTGCACCAGGCGGGGGACGGCGAGTGCAAGGGGAAGACAGGAGTGTCAGCGCCAGGAGCAGAGGGCGGAGTGAGAGAGACAGGGAAGAAGGTCCCACAAGCCTGGTCTGGCTGTGGAAGGACTTGGACCTTTTAGGAGGCAGGGGTGGGATGAGGGGAGAAGGGTTCTGAGCAGGAAATCAAAAGGCAACAGGAGCAGGGCCATGTGGTGTGGGGCTGGCTGCGCATCGGTCAGGAATCTCAGATGGGCCCTGCCATAGTGACCATGGGACCTGGGAGGAAATTATGTCCCTTTTCTGGTCTCACATCAGCCATCTGCACAGTGAGGACTGGGTGAGCGCTGATTTCCTTCCTACCAGACAGGCTGGCTTCCAGGGGAGGCCTCCCCTTATGCTAATGTCACTGCGCCTCTGGGAAAGGGCTACCCCTGTCTCAGCCGGGGACATGCCAAGGCGTCCTGAGGGACATGAGCAGGCACAGGAGGGACCCCGAGCAGGCCACAGAGGGACCGCCGAGCAGTCCATAGAGGGGCCCGAGCAGGCCATCGGAGGGACCCCGAGCAGGCCACAGGGGGGACCCTGAGCAGGCTCAGAGGGGCTCTGGCAGGGGCTGCTGTATCTACAACACACTGACCCAGTGGCCCTCTACCCCCTCTCAGCCCCCAGCCACAGGCCCTGCCACTGAAGCCACTTGTAGGACAGCCCCCAAAACTGGGACCAGCTGGGACCAGCTCTGGGACCAGCTGCGCTCTCCCGGCAGACTGAGGGTGAAGGCTGACCCGGAGCACCTGAGGTTTGAGGGCCTCTCAGACCAGCAAGGACTGTCCCGACACCGTGAGGAACCTTTCAGAGGCTGGGCCAGGCCCCGGGGAGACGCCATGGCTGCTCCGTGAGCAGGCACTGCCAGCAGCCCGGGACCAGGAGGATGAACAAGGACAGAGCTGCCTTGGGTGACATGTGGAAGGAGACCCTCCCACACGCCATTTTCATTGTTAAACAAAAACCCAAGCCCGCATCCTCCGGCAGAGGGGGGACACGCCACACGCCAGCGCTCAGCGCAGCTCTCTTCCAGTTCAGAGGGAGCGACTGAGCTGGGCCTTTTCTGTGGGCGCCCGAGCCCCTGAAGGAATGCACATTTTGTTTTGATCCCACCAACCGTCTGAGAGCGAGGGTGGCAGCATGCTGGCTCCCCCCCCCCTCCCCCGAATTTCCCTGTGCTACGGTTTAAATGCCCAGGGCTCAGTGCTGGTGGTCCCAGAGAGGCAGCGTTCACGGCAGTGTCCCTGGTGTAAGGATCTCGCTATGAGAGTGAGAAGGAGTAAGCGGGGGGGGGGGGGGGGGGGGAGGGACGGGGGGGGGGGCCTCCCCTGGAAGCCGGGCTCTGGTTCATCCCCACGCATCAGACACGAGGACTCCGGCAAATTCCTGCCAGAGAGGGTGGGCGGGATCAGCAGGGGCTCAGACAAAGAAG